TACTTCATTTGTATTTTCTCAGCAGGTATAAAAGACATTTAAATTATTTTCTTTTCTCAGAATACTTTAAAATTGTCAATAAACTTCTTGAGTAGCATTCCCCCAGTGGCACTCTGCTGTGTCCATACTATGCATTTTTCAGGATAAAAATGTTTTTGAGGCTACAATGAATGAAGGCTCCCTTAAAAGTGATATGGTAATGTGGAGAATTATATGCTGTTGCAGTGATTCACGTGAGAATCATTCTTTTTAATGCTGTCATTTGCTTATAAACCATACTGTAAGTACACTGGGTATGATTAATTTGACATAACTTTTAGATGTGCATATCTGAACTAGTTGTCCTTTTATAGTCAGTGAAAAGTACTACATTCCCAAGGAAAGATTTATTTCATTCTAATGTTGCCTCTAAAACCAGTGAAGCTAATCACTTCCCAGAAGCACCTTTTACTTTCCATTGGTGGTAAAGAGAATTTTGAAAATTACCCAGATACACATACCTGTAATTCAGATCTCTAAATAACTTCACTCAACGATTAAACATTTAAAAATAAAATAATTCAAAAAAAAAGAGATTAATCTCTACAAGTTATAGAAAATATCTGCTTTAAGTTTTTGTTACCTGTGTTTTTCTCCATTTGGGTTAACAAGTGCATATGATCAACACACATACTTGTCACTGAAAAGTTTAATTTATTTCATTTAGAATTCTAAACACTTTTACCTAAATAAATCTTCATTCATGCAGGTGAAGGAGAATTTTCCTAAACACCTGAATTAATTGCTTAGAAAGTTAATGGTTTAGTTATATAGTTAATCACCAGAAGACAGTTACTTGAGTTTATTTCTGCCTGGGTCCACACTGCTTTTGTCAGACTACTGTGTTTTAATGCTTGAATTGAAGCCCTATCTTTATAATAGAAGCAGTAGCTCTGATGGGATGGATTTTGTCTGGTGATTATGAAGTCAATTCAAAGTTGTTTTGTAGAAAAGATGTTTCAGTTTGAACAAGAATTATTCACAAATGTTATGTGATGACTTCAAGGGTAAAAAGTTTGCTCATTTGATTTTTAGAACAACTAATTAATTTGGGTTTTTAAGATTCTCACTCCTATCCCAGATGGTTATTTCCACCTATTCCCCTATGGAAATTTGTGCCAAAAGCTGTCAGCCTCTTTGTAATGCCTAGAAAGATACATGAACATCAGAGAGTGAAAGAGAATTAATAGTTGTTTCCAAACTGCTTTCCTCCTATATTTACAAGGCAAGATTTTTTATTCTAATCATATATGTATATATTTTAATCTGAAGTGGTTCTCACAAACTAGTCCAACCCAGTTGAGAATGGTTGTCGTGTTGATTGTGATATGCCATTGTTTATTCTTGGCTTTAGAAAAGGTAGGGCAATTGTGACAGTAGTTAATTAGGAGAGGGAAAAAAGGAGTGTCTTGGTGCAGATCAAACCTGGATGTTGTTAGGGTTGAAGTAATTATACCATCGTGATAATTCAGTTTTTCAGTGGCACTTCTGCCTGGTATTCTGGAATTTATATTCTTGATTTTTGTTTTAAAAAATGCAGATAGGAATCAAACTTGAAGGAACCTAAAAAGAAGTGTTTATTTGATGGCAATGAACAGCAAATTTAGATATTTAAAATGTTTGAAGAATTTGGTTTATATAGTTCTAATATACTTTCTTTGATCAAGACAAATACATAAAATACAAGTCTGTTAATGTAGATAGGGAAAAAAGGGGTTACAATAAGGACCTTTGGTTTTGTTGTAGACATTTAACAAAATAATTGCAAAGAAAAATGTTTTATTTGAGCTTCCTGTAGTTCAGATTTTCACATTTTATCGTTGTTACCATGTATATGTATATTATTTATATATATACTATTTATATTAATAAATATATTATTTATATATATTTATATATATTTTTATATATATATATATATATATATACTGTGTAATTCTTTCTTTAGCAAGGAGCATTCATGTTTTTCGTTTAATCAAAAAATACCAAATGCCTCTAAAATATCTTTTTGCATCTCATGCACTTCTTAAGATCCTTATGCTTGGGAGTTGTTTGGGGTTTTTTAATCACAGATGAAATTGTGTTGAAAAATCTTCATGTCTTCATGTGTTTTTTTTATAAAATCCTCCTAGAATAAGTTCTGACCGCAGCTTTCTTTGACTTTTTTTGCCATTGAGTAGCATTATAATCCTGATGTTCCATTTGACTGCCATCTTTCTTCTGTGTTCATTTGATCAATTTTCAAGTTGAAGTCATGTGTTATTGGAGAAAAGAAGCCGGAGGGGAAACTTCATTGCTCTCTAAAGCTTCTTGAGAAGGGAAAGTGAAGAGGGAGGTGCTGGTCTCTTCTACCCGATATCCAGGAACAGGACGTGTGGGAATGATTAAGAGCTGCACCAGGGGAGGTTTAGATTTGACATCAGGAAGCATTTCTTTACTGAGACAGTGGTCAAACACTGGAACAAGCTTCCTAGAGAGATGACCATGGCTGTTAGTGTTTGAGAAGCATTTGGACAATGGCCTCCATAACACGGTTTAATTTTTGGTCAGCCCTGAAGTGGTCAGGCAGTTGAACTAGATGTTCAGTGTAGGTCCCTTCCAACTGTAACTATACTATTCTATTCTCTCTTCATTTCAATCCATTCCTCAGAACTTATTTTGAAGCAGTAGCTTCAAATAATAGAAGCACTAGTTTTGAAGAATCTGATCCTGAAAAATTCAGATTTTCACAAGTAAACTATTCGGTTCTAGATGTTCAGCTGCACATATTTCACTCTATTTCGAGAACTGATCTGAATATACTATCAGACATATGTAGACAACTTCTCTATTTGGGGGAGTATTTCACATCTATTCTAGAACAAAAGGTTGTAAAAGACGAGCCTAAATTCTTCATAGATGTGGCAATTTAGGAAGAAAGACTTTTATTGCATAGCATAATGAATGGCATAATCTTACTGAGCAATGTCCACAGTATTCAGAAAAATGGAGATTCTGAGTAGTGCATCTACTTTAGAGGATTGTGGTGTAGGTTAAGATAGGCTCTTGGAGCAATTTGCAAGGAGTGTCAGCCTGTCATTGTAAACAACCTCAGTATAGGGAAGACAACCTAATTTGCTTAGAACTGCCAGTTCATTATATCTTCAGGAGGAGTTATGTTTGTTGGCCATATTCATCTGGCTTGGAACCATGATCTGAACATTAGTTTGCTGCTTCATTTCTTACAGATGTGCTGTGAAAGGTGCAGAATAGTTTAAAAGTGATACATGATCTTGACAAAGTACAAGCAATAATTCAGGATACTTAATCACAGTGAAAGCATTGTCTTCACTGAATATTAAATGTTCACTCGAAGAATGCAAAGATTGAGTATTTGACATAAGAAAAAAGAGTGTATTTCAGATCTGTGATATGGAAAAAGCGCTGATTTGTGGTATGGTATGCTGGCTCCTGTAAGGATTTCTATCTTAGTGTCATTATTGGACTCTAGCTGAAATTTTTCTTACTACAGAGATCTTCCATATGTTATATTAAAAAATAATTTACTTTATGACAGTGTGGTTTAACTGTTTTGTGTGTGGTATTGCATCCGGAACTTTACCCAAGTTATGAAGTGGTAAATTCATGATGAGTTTTTACATTTGCCTATTGACAGTTTTTAATGTGGTGTGGTTATTTAAAGTAGTGCCCACAGGGACTCCAGATCTCTTTTCTGGCTGATAATAGCAGATTTGACAGCCTGTCATTTTTTATATATGAGTAAAACTATAATAAAGTAGTATTACTTTGCATATACTAACATTGAACTCATATGTTGTTGCCCAGCCACTTAATATCAAAGAAATATTTCCTGCCTTCAGTATCTGGTCGTTTTTAAATGCATTTAATGATTTTTGGCACTACAGCAGACTTTGTCCTTTCATTAGTATCCACATACGTTACCATCTCATTATCACTCTGGTTCTCCACTGATAACCTCCCTCTGTTGTGAATGGCTATTCCTCTTTACCTACTGTCACTTGATTGGGAAATGCAGGTGCAGAAATGTTTTTATCTGTAGTGAATGTTCTACTTCTTAGCTGAATTATATTTTACTTTTCTGTTTTAAAGCAGAGGAGGTTGCTTTAACCATGATAATTTATTTCTGTGTACTAACTTCATTTTTGTTTAGATTTTCCTTGTCATCTTAGGCTTCTTTTTATCATGACTGTTAATATTTTTAGGATTTAAGATTTTTAGGACTGTTAATTTTTAGGATGACTACTTTTAAAAAGTAACCCTTCCCCCACCTTCTTAAATTTTTACCATCAATGTTAATTAGATCATTACTTTGTTTCTTTTATTGAAGAAGTTGATTTTTATGATCATTGTTACTGGCTGAAATATGCTTAAATTGCAGTTAAGGGCAAATCAGTTAAGGTTTTCTTTTAATAATAAGCAGTCACTCTGATGGATTATAAATCTCTTGCTGTCAAATGGACAAGTAAAATAGTTGTAGTACCTACTGGATAGTCTATAGCCCAGTAGAAGATTCTCCATACTTGGGATATTTTTTGAAGCAGATTCGCTGAGAGGTTTTATATAGAGACAGCTTGTTTTTAATAGTACTGAAATGTCCCATCACTTCAGACTGATACAGTGAGCTCTATTTCAGTCTTTTGAATATTACATATTAGTATATTAATTTACATTAGCAAGAAAATACAGTTTGGATTATTTTAGTCTGTTTTAACCATTCTATGTTAATTAATTTACATTAGGAAGAATTTTACAATGAATAGGGGACAAGGAAAGGCATTCAGTCTGTATTGAACCTCTGTATTCTAATTGAAATATTACTAGTTTTTTCCTTACTTTTAGGTCCAACTATTACCAAAAACAAATGGTGGGATTCATCTCACTTAAATTAGGTATATGAAAGTTGTATATTGAAATATTATCTTTTCATTGTTGAAGTTGGAATGGATCTCTGGAGGTTCTCTGATCCAACCCTCCTGCACAAGCGGGGCCAACTGGAACCAGTTGTCCAGGTCTGTGTCCAGGTGGCTTTTGAATGTATCCAAGGATGGAGACTCCACAGATACAATTTCTCGTCCTAGATTTCCTACATGGAAAGAAACAGGAAAAAGTAGATACTTCCAGAAGGTCCTTCCTTTCATCTCAGGATAAGGATATAAGAGAGTTTAACTGAATGTCTTCTACAGGTGCCTGGCTTACCTCTGTGTGTTTTTAAGATAATCTCAGTGAGGCTTGTCCAGGTGGAGAGATATCTGAAAAACAACCCAGATGGCTGGTGAAGTGTGCACCAGTTACTGCTGTTTTCAGAAATAGAAACTCCACCTAGGTTTCTTGAAAAGTGTGTTTTCCCTCTGTAAAACTGTTCCATGATTCTAAAGAATGACCATAGAAATACTGTGCTTCTAATTTTGACAGTTTTATTGCCTGTCCTGGGTACACATTATGTGTTTACCAAATATGCAAATATGTGATATGCAGTCACAAGTTCTAAACCAAAATACTAATCATATTTATGATAATAGTTTTATTTGAAGGTAATTAAACATCTAAGGAGAACTGAGGTAGTAATTTTATATATTTAGTATATTAGAAGCTTTTATGTTAGAAAATTATAAATTGGTTATTAGCAATTAATTGATAGAGAAAAAGTAATTTGTATGTGGATGAAAAGTATGAATTAGGGTAGAAGCCAAAGCAAGTCCTTGCTTAGTTGCATTAATTTTGTCTGAAGACTGGGTGGGAAAGAAGACTTTCAATATTTGGATAGGTTTAACCATCAAAAAAAAAAATTGCATAGTTTTTCAGTTTATGTCTTGTTTGGAGTTTAATCTGAAGGCAATACCAACTGCTTTTAAATAGGCAATGAAATAACTTTCTATTAAAAGTGACTCTTGAAATTATACACTTATAGATTTTTTTTTAATATCTTCAATTTAAAACATATTCTTGCAATTTTAATTATATAACTTCCTGAGACAAGTAGAAAATAATGCCTTAAAATTCTTTTAGAATTAATTTATTCTGTTTGCTTTTCTGAATTAGGTAATAGATTTGCAGTTACTGAAATTTAACAGTGGTGCTTTCAAAATTCTTCAAGGTTACTAGGGTAAAGTAGGATGCATAAGAGTCAAGCTTTGTTTCCTTCAGAATGGAAAATTGAAAGGGGCTTGGATTTTTTCAACCAAGTTTCACATTCAGCGCGGCAAGGTGGTTTTTCATCTTTTTTAAGTTACGCAAGTGACTGATTGAAATTGGTGAATTCCATTCCTTAAAATATACTTGATCTTGACTATATCTTCTGCAAATTTTTGATAATTCCCTCCTTCCCCCCCCCC